GGGGAAGAACGGTGCCTGTAACGTGGCCCATAAAAACATCCGGGAGCAGGGACGCTTCCTGCAGGACGTTTTCACCACGCTGGTGGATCTCAAGTGGCCCCACACGCTGCTCATCTTCACCATGTCCTTCCTCTGCAGCTGGCTGCTCTTCGGCATGGTCTGGTGGCTCATCGCCTTCGCCCACGGGGACCTGGACCACAGCACCCGGTTGCAGCGCAGCCCCGGAGAGGGGACGGAGGGGGTCTCGGGTGGCTTTGTGCCCTGCGTGACCAGCATCCACTCCTTCACCTCCGCCTTCCTCTTCTCCATCGAGGTGCAGGTGACGATCGGCTTCGGGGGACGCATGGAAGCCGCCATCCTGGTCCTGATCGTGCAGAACATCGTGGGGCTGGTGATCAACGCTATCATGCTGGGCTGCATCTTCATGAAGACATCGCAAGCCCACCGCCGGGCCGAGACCCTCATCTTCAGCAAGCACGCGGTCATCGCCCTGCGGGATGGCAAGCTCTGCTTTATGCTGCGAGTGGGTGACCTCCGGAAGAGCATGATCATCAGTGCCACCATCCGCATGCAGGTGGTGAAGAAGACCTCCAGCCTGGAGGGGGAGGTGGTGCCCCTCAACCAGATCGATATCCAGATGGAGAACCCCGTGGGGGGCAACAGCATTTTTCTTGTCTCCCCGCTCATCATCTACCATGTGATAGACAAGAACAGCCCCCTCTACGACATCTCCCCCCTGAACCTTCACCACCACGAGGACCTGGAGATCATCGTCATCTTGGAAGGGGTGGTGGAGACGACTGGCATCACCACTCAAGCCAGAACCTCCTACCTGGCGGATGAAATCCTCTGGGGCCAAAGGTTTGTGCCCATTGTGGCAGAGGAAGATGGGCAATACTCTGTGGACTACTCTAAATTTGGCAACACGGTGAAAGTGCCCACCCCTTCGTGCACTGCTAGGCAGCTGGAAGAGGACAAAAGCATTATGGACACCATGCCGTTGTCCCCTAAAGGCACAATAAGGAAGAGGTCTGTCAAGCTAAAGCCCAAGTTTACCATAAGCGATGAGCCTTCCTGATGCCTTTTGACTGGGAAACTGTTAGGGCTTTGTGGCTGAAAGATCTCATGAACTTGAAACACTGAGGTGGCCTCTTACTTTTTTTTAAATTCAGGTTGGTAGCACACAGTATGTTCTGTTGTCATTTATTGTGGGATAAATCTAAAGCTAATTATATTTTTTTAAAGGCATGAGAGATTTCAAGCAGCACTGGGAGTAGGAAAATCATGGTCTGCAGCTTTAAATTTCAATCCAGACTGTCCTATTTAATTGCACGAACACTTTGCATTGATTCATCTGCAGGTAATAACATATTGCCTGAAAAGATAAATGTGTATTTATCCTCAGAGATTGCAGTACTTAGGGTCTTGCAGTGTCCTAAAGTCAGTAGTTTTTAACTGGTTTTTTTTCTAACTTGAACAATCAATATAGCAAAGTAAAATATTAATAATTAATAAAGTAGGCTGGATTTAATGATAACAAAAAGGTCAGGCAATGTTATGTATGACACAAGACCAGATCTGGAAGTGTCTATCTATTACACTCTGTATCTCAGAGAAATTAACTGCAGGATTTGCTTCATCCATATTGTATTGCATGGAGCCAATCCTTCCACATGCAATATGAAATGTATTTGAATATTTACTTTTGTTTATTTTAAAACCCTTTATTGCTTCCAAAATAAAACATTCAGGAGTACTGTTTTTGGACTGTACATTTCTGATAGTAAGCAATACTTTGCCTTTAAAAAGAGCAGCAAATAGTGTACAACTGAAATGAATTATAAATAGGAAAAATTCTGTATTCTGATTTCTAAATGAAGAGAAGCAACATCCCACCCCCGCCCCAGAGCCACATGACAGTAGGATGACCAGTAAAAAAATTAATCTCTCCCTTAGGTCAGAGTGAATTCTGATAGATAATCAGGGAACATAAATGGAATTATATATTTTAAATTAAAGGGCAATACTGAATGCTGAAATTATAACTGCATACCATAGGCAAAACCTTTCACTCCTTTCCCTTTTGCAAAAGAATAAGGCTTTTGTGCTTAGGGAAAGCAGGGATGTGTAAGACAACGTGGTCACTTCTGGGTTCTGTGTCACAAAACATACTCCTGCTGAGGAAAAAAATCCCTTTCCCTTTACATCCTGACCTCCCTACAGAGACCATGCTGCCTTGGTTTTTATCTGAATTCAAGATCTGGCATTTAGCAGCAAACGTTAAGGAGCCATGTTCACACCCTCAGTTCCGCTGTGACAAAAGGAGCAATTCCCTTTAGCACACCTGCAAATCCTCTCTCTGGGGTATTAGTAACAGCAGCAATTTTATTTCTATGCGGAGTTACTAGGCAATAGCAGCGTAATTAACTGCAGTGTGCTATTAACAGGGCAAGCTGCCACACAAGTAAAAAAGATAATGTTGTCCAAATAAAACCTAAACAAGCATTACAGAACCGACCCAACACCTGGGTACACAACTGTGCAGAGAGGCACCAAGTTACTTTCAAACTCAATTATTCAAGGAGCTTCTGGTATCAAGTTCTTGTGTCTTACGCAGTTCACAACAGACACCTGAAAGGGTTTGTTTTGGCAATAGTATGGCAGATTTTTGATGCCTTGTCAGTGTAATGATATAACAAACTCATTCAAGTGTGTGACAAAACTTCCATATTGACTATGGAATATTTTCAGGCATCTATAATAAAATGAAATAATGTTTGGGTAAAATCAAAGGTTGTTTACAATGATAAAATAGTAGTTATATTTTCAATATTTATGTATTTCAGTTTTATGAAGACCTGTATCAGCATTATAAGACTGCCAGCTAAGGGAATAAATGCCTGTTCAGTTTCCAAATTCCTGATACACCAATACTATTCTGTGAACAGCTCTAAAAATGTGGTATGTGTTTCACAAGGAAAAGACAGTCAAACTAGTATTTAGAAGTAATCAGCAAAGGAAATTTGGAAAGGCATATTTTACATTTGTAATCATAAAAAATCCTGTTTTTAAAAATACAGAATTATTAAATGCCTTTGATGATTAAATTTCTTCTGTAAGACTGAGTCTAAATGTCACATTACTTCCCAGCTTTCCCTTTTATTGCCTCTGTTCCATTGCTGGTTTGAGGGGCACTTATGGTAGAGCTATTTGCATTTCCTAGACACCTTTGTTCCTTTGAAAGTTCATTGTTCTTTATCACTTCTCACAATACCACTGCTCTATTCTTACAAGAGTCATAGATAAAATATGAGTTAGCTTTCCGGTGGCTTGAAATTGTTGGCTCCTCTGTAGTCTCCTTAGTGCCTTATTTGAATGTGTAAGGTACACCTTAAGGTTCTCAAATAAAAACCTCTTCAGCTCTGGTAGCATTTTAAATCTCTTTTCAAGATTTGACCTAAATGTGAAGCAATTTCAACAGCACCACTATGTAACTATTTTCAGGAGCTGATGCAAGCCCTCAGGGAAATCTGTGCTACAGAGAGGCAGAAAATTCTCTTTGTTCACTGTGAGATGGGAGGGGAAAGACTGGAGAAAAGAGCTTGCATTTGCTGGGCTGTTTGCAGGACTACCTTTTATGTCACTTCTTTTATAAGCATCTGCCTAATTTTCTGAAGTCTTGCAACAAATAGGCATCATAATATGAGGAAGACAGGATTTGTACTATTAAAATCACCATAACGAATTATTTCAATCGAAGTGTTGGTGATTTTGAATGTCAGGATTCTTGTAAGTTTAAATTCTTCTGGTTTTTCACCATTTAAAATACTCAGAAGCATTTCAGGGGCAGAGCAAGGAAGATTAAGTGTATTTATTTTGTATGAGGGGTATTACTTTTTTTGTGAGTATCCTTTCATTTTGTCATATACCAAGTATTTGAGAATACAAATATCTGCAATTGTTCTTAAAGTTGTACTTACACTGACTGCCCCCATTCTCTGTAGGAAGGTTCTGAAGAAGGCATCAGCGCTATCATTTGACGTAGAGAAGGCCTCATTCTTAGCAGTGGGCAAACACTGCATCTTCTGTAGCTGAAGCGCAAAGTGAGCGGGCTTTTGAACTTTCTCCCTCGGCCTACATCTGCTTTTTGGTAGGTGGTATCACGGCTGGGATCCTGCTGAGCAGCGGGCGGGCATGCACTGAGGCTCCCACTGCTGCTACTTCTCCATGTGTCCTCTGCACAGAAACTGGTGTGAGGGAAGCAGGAGGCTACAAGCTTGGGGCTTGCCCTGAGAGGGGACGACATGGACAGAAGAAGTGGGAAGCTGTAGGTTTTGTAGAGACCCGCTGCTGAGTGTAGGGAGTGGCAGAACCAACTGTGTCCAGGGGAATTGCCTTTCATGTGCTTCAGAGTTTGTAGACCGTAACCAGTTTACACTCATAGCTCACACTGTTTAGTGCATTCAGATTGGAGTTTGTTAAGCTGTTTGGATGGACAGAAGGATCACAGGGCTTATTAATCAGAAACATACTGGAGAACTCTTATGATATGTGCTGTATTTGTAAAATACTTGTAGTGACTGCGGGTGATAACATAGCTACTGGGCATATCCGTTTCATGTTGCATTTCCTAATGAATTGAAGTGACGTATGTATACAAAATTAGTGTATAACAAGGTCTGACTTTGTCTCTTTATCCCCCAGGGCACATGATAAGTACAGTATTGTAGCAGTGTACTTCACTAGGACAATGTCCCTATAAAATAGATAAAAAACAGAAGTGAACTCAGGAGGCTGCATATGAAGGCAAAAGAGAGTCAGGGACACAAAATAAATACATTTAAAATCCACAAGTGATACAGTGGGAAGACAATGTCAAGAAGTAATAAACTATTTTCTTTTGAAGCCCTTCACACCAGCAAAGGTGGGACGATGCTGAGGTGAGAGATCAGAGACCTAAAAAGCAGATACGAGAGGCTGGTATACAAGTCTTTAACAAGTCCAGGGTTTACATGCTAGCATAGATTAGCCACGAGGTCAATGTCAAAATTCAGTCTGCCCTGTAAGGTGAGACTGCAGGCTGGGCATGATCAGTATTGCTCAATCCAGTCAGTAAATATTGCTCTGTGTTGAGCAAGGTACCAGTCAAAACAGAGCCCTGGTGGAATCAGTGTTGAGAGGGCTCTGTGGGGACTGATTCTTGTGGTTAGTTATTTATTAATAATTAATAATTTCAAACTAATCAATAATTAATAGTTCTTTGAAAACTGAATTTGCTTCCTCATGTTTTTGTTCCTGTTCTACTCTTTCTTTGTACATTGGTCACCTCTACAGGTAATTATTGTAGGTCTGCTGGCAGAGATTGTTTTGATCTGGGATCAAGCACAAGAGCGCTTCAGGTAATAAAATACAAAAATAAAATTGATATTAGAAACACAAAAACCTCTGTGAAATTGCCAAACTTGCAATTTTCACAGTGATTCCTTGTACAAAGCATGAAAATATCTATACCTGGGAACTGGATATCAATAAGTTACCGTAGATTATTCCCTGTTGTTAACTTTGCAGGTCCCTGTGCAAGGGAAAGTGTTTAGCTCTTTGGGTTTGGGTTGAGGGAGAAGAGAAGGTTCAAAATCAGTCAGTTTCAGTCTCCCTGGTTACACCTTTCTCTCTCTCTCTGCTCAAAGTCATCCTAGTGCTGCCAGTAAAAATGGGCAGGATCCATGCTCTTCGCAGTGCGTGTTCCTGTGTGCTGCCCCTTTCCAGGGTGGACATCTTGAACCCCAGCTGCCCTGGAAGGCAGTAGAAAAATTCCCACCCCCTTTCAGTGGATTTTTGGATCCAAGGACATAATCTGCCAACCTGCTGAAAGCACGTCCTGCAGCAGAAAGAGGGATTAAATCAGCCCTGCGGACCTTGCTCAAGCAAAGCTGCCTGGGGTGAGGAGACCCTGGTGTAGCGGAGGCCCTGGGTATGCCGGCCCTGGGTGCACAGTGGGTTGTGTGCTCAGCAGGGCTGGTGACTGTCTAACTGCCTGTAACAAGTTCCTCAGTGTACTATTTTTGATTCAGCAACAGGAGAAAGATACGTGATACAAACCTCCACCACCACCCTCCCAAGGAGAACTATTAAAAGAGCAGAAGACATTCTTGAGAGGCTGCAGATACCGCTGCCTCCATCCTGCTCTTACACTGCTGGGTGCCTGCGGAGGATGGTATGCTGCATTTTTTTTCTGGCTTACACCCTTATTTTAATACATAATGTGATTTTAAGGGATCATCACAGGGTAATGACTCAGTTTAAAAGTAATTTTCAAAAAACAAACCCTGCAGCCCTTCTTCGCCCCTGTCAACCTCCATGCCTGGCAGATGGCAACTCTCTGACAGGAATCCTGACCCGCTGCCTTCCTGCAGAGCTGAGCAATCCATTCCCTCTGAGCCCTGGTGATGGTGATCTCGCAGAGGAACGTCTCCTCTTTCCTCCCCTCATGGGAGCTGGGGTGTGCCTTGGCAGGAGGCATCGAGCCTCCCCTCCTGTCCCTCTGCCCCCATGAGGGAGGTGAGGCAGCCAGGAGCGGGGCTGCCATGTGCAGGAGGTGGAGCCGCCCTTTTCCTTCCCTGGCTGTTCCTTGTTCATCTGCTACTTTAAGTGGCAAAGACCTGCTTATTGTTTTGCCTTTTTTTTTTTTTTTTGCATTTATATCGCTTATTGTTTTTTCTGTCCAAGGGAGAGTACGCACAGTGTATAAATCACATT